ATAGAAGTCTAAAAGTGCCAAAAATTGAAAAATATAGAAATCTAAAGGGCCAAAAATATAGAAATTTCCTCCAAAAGTCACAAATCCAATAAAATTCGAACTTCCAAATACAAAAATATTCATTTCTTAATTTTCTCCATCGAACAAAATATTCCAGAATAACATTATCAATTTCGTGACATTGTTCGCAGCTCCGTAAGCGTCGACCAATGTAGGAGTCCAGACGCAATGGTGTTGTTCACGGTGATGGACCACGATGTGCTCACGGCGAATGACTTTGCAGGCGAAGCATTCTTGGGGCTTAGTACGATACCTGGTGTAACCGATTCGAACGCCAGCATAGACAACTTCCACGGCCTCAAGCACACCGAGTTACCTTTAATGCATCAGAAGAATCGAAGTACGACGAAACCTCTTCCCTCCTGCAACTCATTCTCAATTTTCCCTTACTTCCTTCAAATTTCCTGTCGAAAGAACGAAAGCAAAGGCTTTATAGAAAGTACACGGTGACTTTGTTAAGACGTTCACTAATTACTTGCTTGGACAAGCCTTTCTAAGGACAATGGACAGGATAATTGAATCTTGAGGAAACTTTGTTCAACGCTAATATGGTTTCTCCTGACGCTGAAAGAATAAACGAGTTTAATGGGAATCTTGTTAAACCTAATACCATTTTGGTCATACTTTTTTGTCCAATAATTGCTATGATTAATTGCACTTGATTTTTCATACGATCTTTAAAAAATTGCAAGGTTCTTGAAGGTTTATTAGAAACTTCTACTTTTTTATGCTCATTTCTATGAAAATTAAAGAGAGAAATCAAGGATTGACGAGAAATTAATTTGCAGTTCAGTAACACAAGATTTTCCATAACAAATGTATTTAACATCTCAATTTCTCGTCAGCTTATTAATTTTACACATTCACATTCTTCTTTCTCCCCATACATTCTTTCTTCAGTGCAAAGAAAACTTTATTTCTCAATTTTTCTACAGATAATTAACGTGAAAGATTATGCAAGCGTAGGAAATTTATTTAAAAAAATTACTCTGGACACACAAATCGTTGCTCGTGTATTCTTAACGTACTTCTTAAATTGAACGGTTCTTCTCACTTAAACCTTCCGTCTTTCACATTTCCCTATAATAAATTATGGTGTTTAGAATGTGTCACAATAATTTTAACGAAATACACACCTCCAATGAACGAAATTCCGCTAGAACAGTGCGTCTGCTTCCAGATCACCCGATTCTCCAGATACTGGAGACGAGAATCGGCGACAAGATGGCTCTCGACTTTGTGAAGAAGCAGAAGCAACGGTTCGCCTCGACGTAAGACGGGTCCACGAGCGGAAACGAGTGAGCACCGCGGATAATCGAGGAAAATTTCACCGCGATACGTAAGAATCGCGTCGAATTCTACTTCTCGACGAGGGAGGAGGAACGAGGAAAGAGAAGAGAATTAAAAATCTGTAAAACGGAGAATCCATCCCCGCGGAAAGCTCGTCGACTCTCTTCCCGAAGTTCTCAGCCCCGAATATTCGCCAGACCTTTTCTCAGTGTAAATCGTGTTGAATATAATCGGTGTTGGTAAACTAAAGAAATTAAATAAGCGATGACGAAGGCAGAAAGGGGGAGGAGAAACGTCGTCGAAACAGATGAGCGTCGAGGATCGAATCGAAGAGGAAGAAGAAAATAAGAGAACATATATATTATCAGAACTATTTTTGTGTGGAGATGAAGAGAGAAAGAAGAAGAAAAAAAAACGAAGTCGAATTGCAAGAAGAGCATATACAAAACAAACAAAAAAAAAAAAAAGTTTAAATCTGTCAGCGTGATGTATTTAAGGATAAATGTTTAAAAAGAAGAAAAAAAAAAAAAAATGCTATCGTCGAGACCGTCGAAACTCGAAGCAATGCTAAACGGCCGTGACACACGAGCAACGTTCGAAAATAGAACAATTTTTGTCGAAAGCGAGAAAAGAGAGAGAAAGAGAGAAATAGGGTGAGAAAGTTATTCTCGAAGTGCTCGCGTTGTGTCCATCGATGTTGCATTGAAAGAAAGTCGCTTCTCTTCTCTGAGATCTATACGAAACACTGTACGACAAAGAGATAAACGTGAAATAGACATGTGTATGTATATATAATTATATACACAAATATGTAAACAGAAAGTTAGGAGATATTCATCGCCGATTCGCATCGCTTCGACGATTACAGATCAATTCCACAGAGAGTCGATATACGATATTTTTCTTACTCGTCATTGGCTAACTCGTCTCTTTCTATCTTTCCACCGCGTCGTTTTTCCCACTTCCCCAATTCCAAATATACATTTTTCCAAGCGATACACTTTTTTCCGATCTCGTGCTCGTGCGCGCGTCAGCAGATCATTCTCGTCGAATGAAAACTGGATACACTACGGTGTGTGTCGATCGACGTTTAACGAACAAAACCTTAGAAAAGACCAAAAAAAAAAGAAGAAGAAGAAGAAACGAAGTTGAACGAAAGCGAAGGGAAAAAGAGAGATAAGGAGACGAAAGGAAGAATCGAGGAAAATTCGTAGATTGAAAACGACGATGATGATGATCTTGTGCCCGTGTTACATGTGTACCGTAAGGATATACGCGACAAAAGAACACACACACACACACACACACACATATGTACACTCACGTTGTAATGAATCGTATCGAATTAATTAAGAATACCAAAGCGAAAGTGTCTCTACCCTCGTGTCTCTGCGTGGCCACGCAGGGATTCAGTGTTTCATTTTGCTCGTACAATCTGAATCTTTCTACAGCTCTTTTCCGATCTCCTCGACACGACGAGTCGTGTCTCTAATAATCGAAATCCGATCGATTCGACGAAATTGGACGAGTATCAGACAAATGGAACGTGCGATTGAGCAGGAAAACTTTGTCTGTCTCATTCGGACTTCCGCAAGATAATCGAAGACGTGCGTTTGCCCCTCTTCGTTCGCAGCTTCGTTCCGTGAATTTTTCTCGCGAACTGCTCGACGATTGGATCTTGTTCAAAATGTTACGAAGAAATACAGAGGGAGGGGGCAGGGGGAAATTGAACGGAACGACGATCGAAATCGGCGACCAAAAACGTAGCTAGAGTATATTAGGTTGGAAGGTAACGAAAAAACGAAAAAGTAAAAAAAAAAAAACGGAAAAAAACTATGTAAGAAAAAGAAAACAAAAAAGGGGAATAACGAACGACAAAAACGCACACTCGTCAATTTTTCTATTGCACGGTATCTCACGCGCGTCTCGTTTTGCGTCTACATAACACACGTCGGGCACGTCAGGTGCGTGCCGCCACACGTGAGAATCAATTAAAAACAAAACACAAAGCGAGATAAAAATATGATAAAAAGTAAAGATGAGAAACTGGAGGTGAAGATCGACAACACGTACATTTGTATTTCACACACACGCCTTTGATGAACAAACGAGATGAAACAATTGTGAAAACGAATTTAAAAATCATGAAAACAAGAACAAATATATACGTATGTATATGTATATGATGTGAAGAAATGATCTCTCGAAATGTCGTCTGTCCGATCCTCGGTATAATCTCGTGCATCGAATCCAATCGAACTCTATTTGCTTTTTCAACCTTTTACAATCACCAGAAACGTATGTACGATTTGTCTTGTATCGTAAGACGAATAAATTAATATAAATGTACGAAACAACGTTGTACCATTTTCTTCGTCCTCCTTTGTATTCCCCTTTGCGATTATCTTCGCTGTTGTACGAGTGATCAATTTTCTTTTTACGTTTCTTCTGAAAGAACATCCTGTTTCTGTGAATATTTTTCTCAGTAAGGTTAGTGTTTTAAACGACATGTGACAAAGTTAACATTGACTTAGAAAAATATTTATTTCCCAGCTTTCTGGGCATACGTAAAATTCTAAAACGCAAAAGTTACATCTGAAATGTGTATACATCGCATATACACTACCGGCCAAAAGTTTCGAATCTGCTACCAATTTTCCATAGACTTGATATTGATACTGTGAAGATAAATAGCAATTTATCTCATATCGATTGATTTGAACGATAGAAAATTCGTTGCTGATTTTTTTCTGCGAATTTTTCTGTAACTTGCAATGCACAGTGGTTCCAAACTTTCGGCCGGTAGTGTATAAATAATTGTATTAAAGGGATTGATAACAGTAAAGCAGTTACAAATGTAAAACGTCTTTCTAAATTGTGAGATAAATTTTTAGGAAAGAAAAATTGGCTATAAAATATTTTCAGACGTGCTGGAGTATTGTATCGATCTACTCGAGTGATTTTTGAGATTGCACAGGACTATCGAGCTTCTGTGTCGCATGCACACATTCTTCTGTCGGTATAATCGGTTCACCGTCTAACTTTTCTAGCATTGGTAAACGTCTCGCCACTTCCAGTCTCCAGTTCTCCACCTAAAAATATGGTACTCTAAATTTCATCGCTGTAGAGCATTAAAAATTACAATTAACAAATACAGAAAAATTTGAAAGTTCTACTGAAACCATAGAATTAAATAAAATCCACTAAAATCATCTACATCCTTTCTGTTGCTCCATTAAATTGCAATGAACGTGACGAATATAGCAAGAAAGATCTCGAAATTATTCTGAGTGGGATATTCGAATAATTTTCGAGGAAAGATAAGAAGTCACGAACGAAACTACCTCCGAACTCTCGTAGAGTGGATTCCCAACGAAAACCAGATCCTGAAGGTTCGCTAGCTCCTGGAGTTTGTTGAATTCGTTCCAATCCCTCACTAAATTGTTCGACATGTAGAGCACGCGAAGATTCCTCATCGCGTTGATTCCCTTCATTTTCTCGATGAGGTTGTACGAAATCCAAAGCTCCTTCAGAGTGTCACCCAACGCCTCCAGACCGGAGAATCCTTTGATTAAGTTACGGCCTAACGAGAGGATCTTTAGGTTCTTCAGCGTCGCGACTCCTGCGTCATTTCGGTGAATTTTAAAGTCTTCGCAGCTGTATTTATAGCTTACTTAATTGTAATCTATATCCACGGAGGAATTTAACCGAATCGACAGAAAAATTAATTACGACAATTCGAAACGGAAAGAAAAATTGTGTTATGTAGAATGAAAAATAGAAAAATTAATTTTAACGTACAGAGAACATTAAAATAGCTCACCATTTAAATCCAACTTCTCAAGATTCAGATATTTCACGATTTAAGTATAATTTCAATCAAATTTGAATATTAAAAATTAAGTACCGTATTTTTCGGACCATGAGACGCACCTTTTCACATAGAAAAATCGACTTAAAATTGGAGTGCGTCTTATGGTCCGAAGGTAACACTAATATACGAATCTTTATACTGTATCGAAGCTATTAGAGATATAGCGCAATATGTTAATAAAATTAGCACAGCACGCCAGTGGTAGTACCAAGAGCGGAGATGAACTGAATATTGCTAGTACGAATTATTTTAACAATAAATAAATTAAATAAGAATTTGAAAATATCTTTATATACCTAATGAAATATTCTTTTCTAAAAGTCGTCCCATAAATTTCGGGTGCGTCTTATGGTCCGAGAAATACGGTACATCCGTGCAAAATGAGAATTGAAAAATGTAAAGGAAGATTTGAATTTTACAAATTAAGCATTATCCGTGAAAAATGAGAATTGAAAAATGCGCAGAAACTAATTGCGAGGGGAGGATCGTTAAGAAGTTGTTTTGCATAGTGATGAGAGTAGTTTAGGAAGATCCGTCTATAATCAAGTTTCCATCGGATCGAATCGCATTAATAGGGACGCGATTACGCGTCAATTAAGGAGGTCGAGTAGCAGTTGGGATCCATTTCTCGTGACCCGCAGCGTAATTCCATTTACGTGAAATTATTTGCCCAGTCGAACGGTTTCGTTAATTATTTTTGTACGCTCACTTCGATGACAAATTGGATCACGTGACTGCAGGGACACTTCCTGATCCGTGCGAAATTATTTTAAACGACGATGCAGAAATTGTTCGTGCATCAAACTCGAAACATTTTTCAACCGATGTATGTGTATCGTGAATGTTAAACGGAGATATTTTACACAGCAATTTTACCGGGTAAAAATGATACAAAAATAACGGAAAAAAAATTCTTTAGAAAAGAATAACAAAGAAAATATTGGAATACAATTCACGCTGAAAATTTTGCAATAAAATTTCATGGTAAATAAATTTAGAGTGTTCTATAATTCTTATTAAAAATAAATTATGCAAAATCTGATAATAAATAATTTTCTGGTAATAAATAATAGTGACGACGATGGTTGACACATTTAAATACTCTAAATGG